TTTGAATGCCCTTTATTTTTTTTCTTGCCTGATTGCTCTGGCTAGAACTTCTAATACTATATTGAGTAGCAGTGGTGAGAGAGGGCATCCTTGTCTGGTGCCACATTTCAAGGGGAATGCTTCCAGTTTTTGCCCATTCACTATGATATTAGCTGTTGGTTTGTCATAAATAGCTTTTATTATTTTGAGATACGTTCCATCGATACCTAGCTTATTGAGGGTTTTTAGCATAAAGGGCTGTTGAATTTTGTGAAAGGCCTTCTCTGCATCAATTGAGATAATCATGTGGTTTTTGTCTTTGGTTCTGTTTATGTGGTGAATTACGTTTATAGACTTGCGTATGTTGAACCAGCCTTCAATCCCCGGGATGAAGCCTTTGTTGCTTTAAAGTTTAATTTATCAGAGATGAGAATTGCAACTCCTGCTTTTTTTTTGCTCTCCATTTGCTTGGTAAATCTTCCTCCATCCCTTTATTTTGAGGCTTTGTGTATCCTTGCATGTGTGATGGGTTTCCTGGATACAGCACACCGATGGGTTTTGGCTTTTTATCCAATTTGCCAGTCTGTGTCTTTTGATTGGGGCATTTAGTCCATGTACATTTAGGGTGAATATTGTTATGTGCGAATTTGATACTGCCATTTTGATCCTAGCTGGGTGTTTTGCCCTTTAGTTGAGCTGGTACTTGTTGTTCCTTTATATGTGTAGAGCCTCTTCCAGGAGCTCTTGTAGAGCTGGCCTGGTGGTGACGAAATCTCTGAGTACTTGTATGTTCCCAAAGGATTTTATTTTTCCTTCACTTATGAAGCTTAGTTTGGCTGGATAGGAGATTCTGGGTTGAAAGTTCTTTTCTTTAAGGATGTTGAATATTGGCCCCCATTCTCTTCTGGCTTGTAGGGTTTCTGCTGAGAGATCTGCTGTGAGTCTGATGTGCTTCCCTTTGTGTGTAACCCGACCTTTCTCTCTGGCTGCCCTTAGTGTTTTATCCTTCATTTCAACCCTGGTGAATCTGACGATTATGTGCCTTGGAGTTGCTCTTCTTGACAAATATCTTTGCGGGGTTCTCTGTATTTCCTGGACTTGAATGTTTGCCTGCCTTGCTAGGTTGGGGAAGTTTTCCTGGGTAATATCCTGAAGAGTATTTTCCAGCTTGGATTCATTCTCTTCGTCGCATTCAGGTACGCCTATCAAACGTAGATTAGGTCTTTTCACATAGTCCCATATTTCTTGGAGATTTTGTTCATTCCTTTTTACCCTTTTTTCTCCAGTCTTGCCTTCCCGTTTTATTTCGTTGAGTTGATCTTCGACCTCTGATATCCTTTCTTCTGCTTGGTCAATTTGGCTGTTGATACTTGTGCATGCTTCGCGAAGTTCTCGTGTTGCGTTTTTCAGCTCCATCAATTCACTTATATTCCATTCTATTTTGTCCATTCTCGTTAGCATTTTGTCAAATCTTTTCTCAAGGTTCTTAGTTTCTTTGCATTTGGTTAGAACATGTTCTTTAAGTTCACAGAAGTTTCTTACTACCCACCTTCTGAAGTCTGATTCTGTCATTTCATCACACCCATTCTCCATCCAACCTTGTTCCCTTGCTGGTGAGGAGTTGTGATCCCTTGTAGGAGGAGAGGTGTTCTGGTTTCGGGTGTTTTCATCTTTTTTGCACTGGTTTCTTCCCATCTTTAAGGATTTATCCACCTGTCGACTTTGTAGTTGCTGACTTTCAGATTGGGTCTCAAATCTTCCAGATTGATGTTCTGTTTGTTGATGATGAGGTTATTTCTGTTTCTTGGTTTTCCTTCTGACAGCCTGGCCCCTCTGCTGTAGGTCTGCTGAGGTTCACTCCAGGCCCTGCTTGCCGGGGCTTCACCTGCAGCAGCTGCTGAACAGTAAGGGTTGTTACCAGTTTTCTTCTTCTGCTATCTTTGTCCCAGAAGGATACCCGCCTAGTGTCTCTGATCTCTCCTTTATGAGGTGGCTCTTTGGATATATAGGGGTCAGGTAGCTGCTTGACGAGACAGTCTCTTCTTTATAGGAGCTCAAATGGTGAGCTGTGAGCTCTGTTGTTGATTCAGAGCTGCTGGGCAGGTACATTTAGGTCTGCTGTAGCAGAACTCATAAACTGCTTTTTGTTCCCAGGTGCTCTGTCCCAGGGATTTAGGGCTTTATGAGTTTCGGTTATGCTGCTGCCTTGTCTTTTTTTTTTTTTTTTTTCCTTTAGAGCTGTCCTGCCCAGCAAGGAGGCAGCCTAGTCACTGTCTGCCTGTAGAGGCTTTGCTGAGCTGCTGTGGGCTCCGCACAGCTGCTGAGTGAACTTCCCTGCAGTCCTGTTTATATGGGTGTAGTTAGAACTGCCTTGGCGATGGTGGCCTGCCTCTGTTGAGGCAGAGTCTCTCTGCAGTGGTGGGTTGCCTTTGGCAATGGTGGGCTGCCTCGGCATTGGCTGAATACCTCCGTAGTGGTGGGTTGCCTCAGTAATGGCGTACGCCCCTCCCCCACAGAGCTGGACCGTCCCGGGTTCAGCTGCACTTGCTGTGAAACTCTCAATCCAGAGTTCCTGGTTGCTGTTCTTTTGTGGGGGTGGGACCAGCCGAGCCTGATCGCCTGGCTCCCTGCCTCAGAGCCTTTTTTAAGTTGGTGTTCCAGTCGCCTGTTGAAGAGGTACCGGGGTCTGTTTGTTTTCTCCTGCGGCCACTCACTGCACTCGCTTAAACAGCGGCACTGAGGTTTGTGGCGCTTTTTTTTTTTTTTTGCCCTGGACTCTACTGTCCTGGTTCTCTACTCAGTCCCCTTTTTAAACAGACGAATGGGCGACTTCCCCTGGCTCCAATCGCCAGCCAAAAGGGCAGCCGGACCGGTGTATTTTGTACAGAGAACCGCTGCTCCGGGGTGCCGACAAAGCAGCCGCACGGGGCAAAGCAGTAGAGCCAGCCGGCACAGCCTCACTGGCCGAAACAGCCACTCTGGTGACCTGTGGAGCTCCTCTGCCTGGGACTTGCCTAGTCTATGGGCAATAAAAATGCGGCGTCGACTCACCCTCTGCGCTTTCACTGGGAGCTGCAATCCTGAGCTGTTCCTAAACGGCCACCTTGCATCCTCCCGGTATATTTTTCTTGATTGGCAATTATATGGGTTTCTTACTATAGTTTTTACTGTTCTGAAAAATGAGTCTTTTTGCTATGTCCACTCCTAGAGTGCTCCAAAGTTAATCTCATGTCTGGCTATATAGATATTATAAATATAGCCATCCCAGACATATTCTCCATATTTGGTTAACATTTGTCAAATTGTATGATGTGATAGCAGAAAAAGACTCAGAAACCTATTTTATTTATATATGTATATATATGCAGCTTATCATTACTTGGCTAGTAATGGTTCTTTTATCCACTAAATATGCAATTTATTACAGAAATTAGTAAAACAGTGTCTGCTCTAAAGGACCATGCTCTCTAGTCTTAGAAACTATAATAATAATTTATTTATTATTTATTTATCATACTGATAAATAAAGTATGACTCAGCGCACCATAAATATCTTACTAGAGATAAAATCAAGGTATTGTGGGAATTCAGAGAAGGTCATGTTACTTTTACCTAGCAATGTGTGTGTTGGAGAGACAGGAGCTGCATTGTCAAAAAAAGTCATGTGCACTGCAAATGGACTAAAACCTACCAGTCAGGAGAGATGGAGAAGGGGTTAGTACAGGCAGGGAGAACTAGCAGATGCATCAGGGATGCAGATATATAAGACTAGACTGGTTTGGCTAGAGTGAAGCTGCTGCCTCGAAGAACGGGACAGAATAGTAGGGTGGGCCCAGATACTGAGAGGCCCAGATACTACTCCATTGCATGGCCCTCTACTCCTGTGCCCTACTGGCCCTTTGTGTGAGTATGTGTATGCCCTCTGGGAGCTGCCAGCTGGGGTTTAAATCCCAGGTCTACCACTTACAAGCATCTTACAATCATTTGCTGGGTGTCCTAGGGCAGTTCTTAACCTTTCTAAGCTTTAGTATACTTATCTATAAAAATGAATAAATAATACATAAACATGTGAAGTGCCTGGCAAAGTGACTACATATAATAAAGTAAGTAGTAAAAAAAAGTAGTTACTATATTGTTTTCCCAGTTGAATATGCAGTATTTCTGTATTTCCTGTTCAGTAGGGGGAGATTGAAGTTAGAATGGTAGGGGAATTAACTCCTTTCTTTGAAAACTGGTGAATAAAGGGGAAGAAAAATCAAACATTTATTCTGCCTTTGGTATATGAGCCATGCTACTGAATAAACACATAATAAATGAGCAGATATTTTTCTTTATGGGATTCTTCACCTGATTAATGAAGAAAGAATGATAGAAGTAGAATATCACCAGTTGCAGTGCTTAATGAACTAGTGGATCTATACATAGACCATAATGGTAGCTAACATCTGAAAAGAGATGCAACCGTTTATTATATGCCTTCTGATAGAGGAACATTACCTATCAAATAGTCTTGTCAAAAAGATTTGAACCTGAGTCTGATCAAGCCTCTAGATCCAATTATTAAGTTATGGAAAATATGAGGATGTAGAGACATTAAGGAATACCACAGGGATGTAGAAAAATGAAGATTTTAGGAGACTCAACAGATAAATATCTGATTTTTGTCAACAAATAAATTGCAGGATGGAGTGGGGATCTGGGGGATGTTATAGATTAAAAGATACCTAAAAGACTTATGAACCAATCACAATAAGTAAATTTTAATTGGATCTTGATTCAAACAAACTATTTTTAAAATTATGGCAGTTATGAGATAGTTGAAAATTTGAACACTGATTAGATGTTTCATGATATTTAGGAGTCACTAATCACTGATTTTTTTAGAAGTGTTTTTTTATTTTTAAAAAAAACTACATAGTAAATGGGGAAGATGAAAAAGCATCATGATTACGGTGGTAAAGTACTCTTATTTCTTCATTTTAAAACATTTCCCTAAGAAACATGTGCTTTTTATTTTTCAGGTTGCTGCATGATCTCAACTTTTCCAAAAATGAGATCCATAGTTTTACAGCATAATGAAGAGCTGTCATTATCCTTTATTCTGCTAGTTTATCTAAATTTGTGATTGCTTAGGGTTTTTTAAGAGAACATTTTTGTACATAATAAAAGGTTAACTAGAATCCAGGCTTCAGTTTCTTAAATGAAATCAAATGTTCCTTAAGTACAGGTAACTTCTTGGCTTTTTTATGTACCATAACTTATTTTACTACTAATATTTGACCTGGAAAGTTAATCATGGCAACAAATACATACAGGATTCTTTGTTATGAATCACAAATTTTCTTGCCATATAAATTGTATCACTGTTCTACAGTAAGCACTTGTGCTTTATGACACGATAAAGTAAATGATCACTTTGATCACATTTCTATGCTGTAAAATGTCTTATTAGCAATACAGATTAAATTTTACATTGCACTGTTAACTCAGGAAATGATCATTTATGTCCTTGTTATTACAACATAGAATGTTAAAACTTATTAAGTGATACAAACATTGTTGTGTGTATGTATGGCATTGATGCAGAATAGAATAAAATCATACTTAAGTTCTTTTTAATCTTTGTGGTAGAAGTGTGGTTGAATGCAACAATATTGGGCCAGTATCATAAGGGAAATTTTAAAAGGCAGCAATAAAATATATTAGAGACATGTCACACATGCACCTTTGGATGAGGGGTGTTAACAGAGCTTGAGAGAGGGAACCTTGATAGCTATTTTTATTCTTAGCCAAAAACAAAGGCATTAGGAAAGAGAATGACAGTGTAATATCTAGTTCCACAGCCTAAAATTATTTGGTGCTTTGGAATGGGTTGAATTTTAGTTCGTTTTTAGTCCCTCTAAGCCAGCTGGGAAAATGAGGAACATTCTGTCCTGAATGGTTCTTTCCCTGGTTGGCAGCTTTCTCCACAGCTGGTAGATCAGCAGGGAACCCTCTTAGGTTCTTGTGTGTGGGCGACTTATTTTTTCACCCTGCTGCCTTGTGCAACTTTCAAATACTTAAAGAGATTCAGATCAGCAAAGGGTTTGAAGAATAGTCATTGTGAGCTTCTCATGAGGAAACTGTTGCATAGGTAGCAACTGTCTAAGCTACTAGGATTTTTCAGTCTTGGTATAGCAGCAGTGTTTTCACAAAAATAGTGGATGGAAAGAGTCTCCAATTTATCTGTAAATGATTTTATAAATAGCTAAATCTTCACTGAATTAGTAATACACTCAAGAGGGACACAATATTAATATTCCCCAAGTTACAGACACCCAGCTTGTGAAGCTTCGTAAGTGCAGATGGCTGGTTGTACACTGTCACTTTTTTTCTGTGCCTCTTGTCTTCTGTAGCCAATTCCACCATCATTATTATTCACAAGACAGGAATCTAGCTGTCCTGGGCTGGCAGTGTTCCCTGGTAGCTAATAAGAACTTTTTCTAGTTTCATGCCTTCTCACTGCTTCCTTTTTTCCCATCTAAGGCTAAAGTGATTTGGCTCTGTGTCCTCACCCAAATCTCATATCAGATTGTAATTCCCACATGTTGAGGAAGGGTCCTGGTGGGAGGTGATTGGATCATGGGGGTAGTTTCCCCCATCCTGTTCCCGTGATGGTGAGTGAGCTTTCATGAGATCTGATGGTTTAAAAGTATGGCAGTTCCTCCCCACCTCCTGCTGCCTTATGAAGAAGGTCCTTGCTGCCTCTTTGCCTTCTACATAATTGTATGTTTCCTGAGGCCTCCCCAGCCATGCAGAACTGTGAGTCAAGTAAATCTCTTTTCTTCGTAAACTACCCAGTCTCAGGTAGTTCTTTATAGCAGCGTAAAAATGGACTAATACAAAAAAAGACGATGTACCACTTTTTTTTTTTTAGTTTGTTTGCAGTGAATCAATGAAATCTAACTTAGCCAGCATCTTTCTCATTTTTTCTAACCCTCCTTTTTTCTCTCTCTCCAGTCCCAAGCAACAGAATCTCCTGTTAATCTCTTATTTGTAATGCTTCCTCATTCCTCCTTTTAAGTTTTATATTTTAAAACAAATCCATAAGTGTCTCCTTCTAATCTCCACTCACATGATTTTATGAACTTACATGTTAATAATTCCCAAACAGGAGTCATTAATTTGATAATCAGCTAAGCTTCAGTTTTCAGTATCGATTTACCTCCTGCACACCACCCCACCATCCACCTAGTAAGCCATTCTACAACTATTAGGGATCAACATCAATGTCCCCATCTCTAGTCTGACTCTTCCATACCAGCTAACCTACTGTCCTATCATCCCTCAGCTGGATTAGTACAGTAGCCTGATAATTCGTCTTCATGCTGCAGTCTGTTCTAAAATTTATTCTCCATTCCAAGTTACTCTAGAAGGACTTGGAGAAAAAAATCCCTAGAAAGAGCCTCAGTCTTCCAGGTAATACAACCAAATACTGCAGAGCATAGATGGGAGTATAGCTTATCATTGTTATTCTCAAGCAAATAACTCAAAGACTCTTACATCACATATTTGCAATGAAGAAAAAGAATTATGCTCAAAGTCACATTTGCTTGCAAATTCTGCTTTAAAAAAGATGTTTACATATTTTCTATTGCTGCTAGATCAGATTATTACAAACTTAGTAGCTTAAAACAACACCCATTTATTATCTCATAGTTCCATGACACACAAATCTAGGCTCAATATGGCTCAACTGGGTCCCTTGCTGAAAGCCTCACAAGGCTGAAATCAGATTGTCAACTGAGCTGAGCCTTAGCTAGGGGATCTAAAGGGAAGTCCCTAGATAAGAGTTCTTTTAACCTCGTTTAGGTTGATGGTAGATTTCAGTTCCTTGCAGTTGTAGGACTGAGTTCCCCATTTCCTTGCTGGCTGTTAGCTATGGGCTAGTCTTTGTTTCTTGAATCTACCCAATTCCTTCTCATGCTTTCCTTGTGGCCCCCTTCAGCATTGGCAGGTGAATCTCATGCTTTCAGTCTTTCTGAATTCCCCTCTGCCATATCTTTCTTGCCCTAGTAAGAGAAGTAACAGTTCACTGTTTTTAAGATCTCACATGGTTATATTGGACCCACCCAGATATCCAGGTAGTGTTCCTAGTTTAAGATCTATAATCTTAATTACAGCTGTAAAGTTCCTTTTCCTATATAATATTCAAAGGTTGCAGGCATTTGGGTGTTGACATCTTTGATGGGCACATTTGGTCTACTATATGCTATAAAAAGAACAGAGAAATTTGTCTAAGATAAGATGATTAGGTTTTATCTGGTTAGGGGACCTTGCCATGGGCCCTCACCTTTTGCCTTAATGTAACAGAACATAGGAGGAGCTTTCTCACCCCAGAAGAGTCAACTTCATTATGCTGGCAAAGACGTGGGTACAACCTGCTCTGTGATCTACCCTCTCAACCATGCAAGCTTGTCCTAAACCAGGTTGTGGCTGACTCTGTTGATAACAGACCCCCATTTTGAGGCAGGAAAAAAAAAAAAAACAGATTCTGTATGGTCTACAGTATTTAACATTGTGGCAAATAAATTATAAAGGAAAAATGAAGTCTCAACTAGTTTCAGTCTCTTGGTCTTTCAACATTGGTTTTATCGTGAAGTCATCTTCACCCAGTATTGCAAGTTTAGCAGACCTCAAAACATAATGCCAGAGTGATCTGAAAATTCAAAAATGAGTTTACTTTCTTTGCTAAAGTTCCCTTTTGATACATAGGCCCCATTCATGGGAGACATTATCTTGGGTGCAGCGTCATACATAGAGTTAAAATGTAGAAACAACCCAAACATCCTGATACAGTTTATCTATGTCCCCGCCCAAATCTCATCTTGAATTGTACTCATAATTCCCACATGTTGTGGGAGGGACCTGGTGGGAGATAATTTGAATCATGGGGGCAATTTCCCCCATACTTTTCTCAAGGTAGTGAATAAATGTCCTCTTGAGATCTGGTGGTTTTATCAGGAGTTTCCACTTGTGCATCTTAGTCATTTTCTCTTGCTGCCACCATGTAAGAAGTACAGGTATTGATCGACTTAACGACCTATGCAACTTACGACCATTCAACTTTACAACCACAATCGCAAGCCACGACTGCTCCGCGTCTGGCAGCGCAATCGTTGCCCAGCTGGGCGTACTACAGTGCGGACCAGCTTCCGGCAGCACTACCATCTCCATGTGCACCATTTCAACTGTACATATAGCCTACTCAACTTATGACCAAATCATGTTACGACCGGTCTGCCGGTCCCAATCGCGGTTGTAAGTCGAGCACTAGCTGTACCTTCCACCTCCCACCATGATTTTGAGTCCTGCCCAGTGATGTGGAACTGTAAGTCTAATTAAACCTATTTTTCTTCCCAGTCTTGAGTAGGTCTTTATCAGCAGTGTAAAAATGGACTAATATGTTAAATTGGTACCAGTAGAGTGGGGTGTTGATGAAAAGATATCTGAAAATGTGGAAGCAACTTAGGAACTGGGTAACAGGCAAAGATTGGAACAGTTTGGAGGGCTCAGCAGAAGACAGGAAAATGTGGGAAAGTTTGGAACTTCCTTGAGACTTGTTGAGTGGCTTTGACAGAAATATTGATAATGATATAAATAATGAAATCCAGGCTGAGGTGGTCTCAGATGGAGATGAGAAACCTGTTGGGAACTAGAACAAAGGTGACTCTTGTTATATTTTAGCAAAGAGACTGGTGGCAATTTGCCCCGCCCTGGATATTTGTAGATCTTTGAACTTGAGAGAGATGATTTAGGGTATCTGATGGAAGAAATTTCTAAGGAGCAAAGCATTCAAGAGGTGACTTAGGTGCTGTTAAAGGTATTCAGTTTTAAAAGGGAAGCTGAGCATAAAAGTTCAGAAAATTAGCAGCCTGACAATGCGATAGAAAAGAAAATCCCATTTTCTGAGGAAAATTTCAAGCTGGCTGTAGATATTTGCGTAACGAGGAGCAAAATGTTAATCACCAAGACCCCAAAAAATGTCTCCAGGGCATGTCAGAGACCTTTGTGGCAGCCTCTCCCATCACAGACCCAGAGGGAAAAAATGGCTTTGTAGGCAGGGCCCAGGGTCCTTGTGCTGTGTGCAGTCCAGGGATTTGGTTCCCTGTGTCCCAGCCACTCCAGCTGTGGCTGAAAGGGGCCAGTGTAGAGCTTTGGCCATAGCTTCAGAGGGTGCAAGCCTCGAGTTTTGGCAGCCTCCATGTGGTGGTGCATCTGTGAGTGTACAGAAGTCATGCATTGGGGTTTGGGAACCTCTACCTAGATTTCAGAAGATGTGTGGAAATGCCTGGATTCCCAGGCAGAAGTTTGCTACAGTGGCAGGGCACTCATGGAGAACCTCTGCTAGGGCAGTGCAGAAGGGAAATGTGGGGTTGGAGCCCCACACAGATTCCTTGCTGGGGCACTGCCTAGTGGAGCTATGAGAAGAGGGCCACCATCCTCCAGACCCCAGAATGGTAGATCGACTTATAGCTTGCACCTTGCACCTGGAAAAGCTGCAGACACTCAACACCACCCCGTGGAAGCAGCCAGGAGAGAGGCTGTACCCGAAAAGCCGCAGGGTCAGAGCTGCACAA